TCCATCAGCTTGAACATCGTTCTAGTGTTGGCAGTAAGGGTGATCAAATTCCCCTCACAGCCATGAGATTTGCAAGAAGAGGGTGGACTATCCAGGAGCAATATCCTTAAATTACATTGTAGGCATTTTCACTGAATAAAATTGGTAGGACATGGAGAGGGCTGAAGCTTCCTGGAAGATAACTGTAATTAGTACTTCTGAGTTTCTGTGTTAGGCTAACTTTATGTGAAACATCATTCTTGCAGATCAGATTTCAGTTAAATGAAATCACTGTATAGCTTTCTTCAGCTGGTGATTAACAGAAACAAAAGGGAGTGGGGAGAGAAAGTTTCAGTGCATTTGAGGATCATATTAGCCCTTGCCTATGCCTTCCATATCACATACATCCCACTTAACTTGCAGATAAAATGTAGAAGTAGGCTTAGAGAAGTAAAGTCCTCCGATCTGCTTCCTTCTAGAAATTTCAAGAGAAGTCTCCCATTTTTAGGCATGTAACATCCCTGTAGGTGCATACAGACCTTCTCTTCTGGACTAGTTCTCTTCTTGATTTATGCTTTGCTCAGCGATGCTTTTGGGGGGTTCAATTAATAAAACCACCACCTGCCTAGTAACCAGATTATTCATGCCCAGTCAGTGTTCATTAATTATTACATTCATAGTGATCAAGAGTAACGTGGTTTACATGAAAGTAGATCTCCCCTAATGCAATCCCCAGAATAGCAACCCTCTGTGTTGGGCTGAGAGAGTGTAACTGACCCAAAGTCAGCCCATAGTTGGCTTCGTACAACACACTTAGCAAGTAAACCCATATTCTTTGCTTGCAGATTAATGCTGGGTTCACTTATAATTATCTGGAAAAAAAACTAAAGTTAAGATTAACTCTAGCCAAGTTTGGCATGTTATGCAAATAAAGCCCCTAACTTTGGAAACATACCTGAGCTCTATTGTGGAATGGGAACTTGGGACTTGGGTTTTCCCGGTCCAACTTAACATGTTAACCCTGATAACAAATCAAATAAATCATTATTACAGTCATAGACCAACATAAAGGGGGTGGGTACAGTCATTAAAAAAGAAATATAACAAGATAAAATGTTGTATAAAGTAGAAAACTGTAATGAGACATAGAAGGTATAAAAGATATACAGTACAAAACTGAAAGATGTATGAGGCATAGAAGATATAAACACTTAAATAATAGGAATATAAAAAGGAGGGGTGGAAGTGCAGGGGAGCATAAAAAACAGTATGTGAAAGACTATATGGTGAATTATTGACTCTAGTTTATAATGTTGAGCTCCAAGCAAAAGCCAGAAATTATCATCTGATGAATTTTGAGTGCTGTTGAACAGAACCTGGCAAAGTTGTATGTTGTAGCAGGGTTAGTATCTAAAGGCAACAGGGTGGTGTAAAATTGTCCTGTGTGCCTAGATATTTACGTAGTAGTGGTAAGATGAGACTCGTGAGAATGCCTCTGTAGTATGAGCACTGGAGAAGCACATGCCCTGTTGTTTCAGTGTGTCCAGGACGCAAGGGCATTGTTGCTCCAAGTAGGGAGTTTCCTCTGTTGACCTTCATGGACAGTTGAGGAGCCCTTATGACACAATGCTTGTTCTTAGTGACCCTCGTTGCAAAACATGCAGATCTGGGCAAAGGTAGACTTGTGTCAAAACAATAAGGTAATTACAACAGTGCTTTTTTAGCCCCAATCCATTCCATGGTCAGCTGTATCCTACAAATAA